TAACAATGAGGTTATTATCATAAGATTAAAACATAACTGTTTTCATAGACATTGCTGTTGGGTTGAATGGCTGCTTGAATGTTAAACCAGTATTGCATTTATTACGATAAGATTGGCGTTAATGTAATAGTAAGTAGTTTTGACTGGGACTAAATTTATTTAACAATTACCCAAATTCGAAGAATCTTTGATCACCAAAATTCGGGTTAAACGCAACATTTTAATTAATGACAGCAGAAGTATTACAGATTAACGGGATTTATTATAAACTTCGGATTAATGCAAATAACTGATATAACTGAATTAGTGCTGGCAAAAAAACGTTAGTGATAATTATATCCTATTGGAAAACCCATTATCACTTGCTAGATGTTCACATAACTAGTGCATTCCTCTGACCTGGTTACTGAGCATATGGCAAAACTCATGCATTATTTCATGCTGTAAGTATTGCTGACACATTATCAATTCTTTAAGAAAGGTGCACAAATCAGTCGATATTTTTGCCCAAGGAATGTAATATTATTTCCACATATAGGCATGCTATTTCTTTCAAATCTTTCATATGCACTGTATATGCAGAGGAGTTGAGTATAAACATTGATGGGAAGATTACTGGCCCACATTGTGACTTTGTTTAAGGTCAGTAAGTGTTTTGTCAAGCTTCCCAAAATTAAGTATGGAATATTTCTACTATCTTTCAGCTGGTCCTTTGATGATCAATCAAGCAAGAAAAAAATTAGAGAAAAACTTGGCTGAAATCAGGATGTTGATTCCAGTCCACAAATTTGTCCCATTTTCTCCCAGTCCAAGAATCAGAAAAAATATTTTTGAGAGTCAGAGTCATGTCAAGAAAATTATCCACCATCAGACGGTTACGAAAATGTGCATCAGTTAATATTAAATGTTATTGCATGAACTATACTCGTTCATCCCGAATTAGTAATGACTGGAAGGAATTTGGCTATTATGAAATAGTTACGATGTAAATAATTTGGTCATGCAAGGCTCTCTGCTTATTCTTTACCCACCTGTTCTAGCAAAAGACTGAATGAAACCAGATTTAGATCAAGTCATTAACAATTTGATTAATCATAATCTGTGCCTAGGGAAAGGAAGTTGAACTGAAATCTCCAGTTTATCTATCTTTGGTTTAATGGGAGCCACTATGTAGTTTGAAAGAATTGTAGACAGGAGCTTCGAAAAAATAAACATTTCATATGTCTATTGTAAAAAGTAATACAGCTAATCAATATTTTTATTCTAGTATTGCAGCAACATGATGGTCTTGATCATTTGGATATATTGGATCTTTCGGTTAGAGTGATAATTATATCCCATTTGGAAAACCCATTACCACTTGCTAGATGTTCACATGGTTGGTACGATCTAGTGTATTCCTCTGATGTCAAGTCCACCTGGTTACTGAGCAGATATGGCAGAACTCATGCATTATTTCATGCTGTAAGAATTGGTGACTCGTTTATCACTCCTGAAGTTGTTGAACTTATGCTTAAGAAAGGTGCACAGATCAGCCAATACTTCATTCAGAGACTGGTGCTCGGATTTGGCAAATACGATCAGAAACTTATTAATCTCAAGCTAACATATCACGTGAGACCGCCCAATCCATATCAAGCTTCTAGCCCGTGGGCAAGCAATCTTTCTGTCGATATCTTTTCCCAGCTTCTTAAAGAGGGTTATGACCGATTCGGTGAAAATAATATTTCAGTTCATGGAAATGACATGGAATATTTCTATTATCTCTCAGGCGGGCCATTAGGAACCAGTCAATCCATAGTTGAAATTCAAGAAAACTTGGATGAAATTAAAGAGTTGATTCGAGTTTATAAATTTGCACCGTTTCCTCCTAGGCCAGGAATCAGAAATCCATGCGATGTATCTGATGGGTACACCGACATCTTGCAATGGAATATTATTGCGCGATCTATTTTGATCTGCCCTGAATTGGTTAGTCTCTGGAAGGAAAATGGATATCACGAAGTAGTGACCGATACAAATGATATCGTTATACGAGATTCGCTGTTATTTCTTTATCGACATGAGGAAGAATGGGCTTTACCTGGATTAGAGCAAGTTGTCAAGAGATTAAGCGACTTACAATCGTATGGTTTCAAATTGACCGACAAGCTCATCGGAGATGCCTTAAGATTATTTGAACAAAGACTCGACTTCGCCAATATAGGCGAAACACTCGTTGAAGCCTTTACTATTGTTCGTAACAAAAAGCTTAGTGAGGATATTCTTATTATTTGCCTAACGGAGTTGTTGCATCCAGAAAAGCATGTTGAACAATATGTTTCACTTGACTTCATTATTGGTCGTGTAACAAAACCTGAGGACAAAATCCTCTATATACTTGAAAAGTATGCGTATGCGTACTCAACAAACAACGGCGTATACGAATATATGGTGGCAAAATTTGGTGCCCAGTCTCGAGTCGCTAGGTATTTGTACGAATAATGACACATGTATAAATTTTTGTTATTTTATGATATTTTTGTTAAGAAGACTTCCACTTGTTGCTTATTTTAGCTTAATATGTATAACGGTAATTGATAAGAGCTATGTCTAAGCTTATAAACGATTAAGATTACGCCTTCTATGTTTTATATTTAAAATAAATGTTGTTTTTTCAAATAAAACTGTTGCAATGTGGTTAATAATAAAATTTGTAATAGGTGACTTTATTTTAAGAGATCTTTCGGAGGCAGCAAATTCGTATTTCAGATAAGCATACACTATAATAATCCTTAAATTCTAGTAATTATGATTGTGGAAAAAATTAAACAGAATATTATTTTGCTCAATTACAAAACTTCTTGGACTAACGATACAACATAAAGCAGTTTAGAACAGATGGTATGCTCATATCAGAAGATTCTCATTGTAATTATATTAGACTTGAGCGAGGTCGGGTCACGTTTGTCTTATTATAAGTCGACGAATGATTCATAACATCACCCATTCGTGCCTTTCAGCAGTGTTACAAACTTTGACGCACTGATTGCTAAGAATGTACGCTAACAGTATTCCGTACAAAGCAGAATTTGAAATATCTACTGTAAATTGGTATTGTTCGGAAATGATTTCTCAAGTAGACATTCGGATTATCCTGCTTCCTTCCGACAATAGAAGTTGAGCGAGTAATCTATTACTGTACACGAAGCAAATGCCATTACTGCATAATGATAAGCGGTTACATCAGCAATTAAATATCACGCAAATAATCGTTCTTACATACTCTTACGCTCAAAAATATTACGCGTATTATATAACCGTATTAGACAAATATATTACAAAGTATTGGCGTTAACACATTCTTTCTTCGTTTTTGCAACTCATACTATGTCTTTACTATTTTCAATACAAACAACTGTTTACCAAACGTTTTGACTGGCTTCCATACTACTACTCCGGGGCTTTGCTAAAATCAAGGTTCCCTCCTTTGCCGATGGATTCGGATTGCATTCGCCAAGGTCAAATGAGAAAAGAATTTGATGAATGACTGCACTCATTGCAGATTGGTGAGGACGTATTATTGAGTGAATGTAGGGCTCTGTTTGAATCATCATTCGAGGAAAGAATCCAATCTGAAATGTAGAAAAGGTGGATCATTTGAAAATATACTAACCCCAAATAAATTTCTAACCAAATCGTTTAATCCGCCTGTTTACCCGACTTTCCAGCCTCAGCGGCATCTGCTTGCTGTCTCATGCAAACAACAACAGGTTTTGTTTTTCCTTTCCATATGGTGTTGGGTCACTTATCATCTGTCATACCCGAGTAGAGTTTCTTTTCTGGTTTTTTTTTTTTTTTCTTTTTCAGCGGCCTGTGAGTGATGGTGACATGACAAACACGTGTTTTTAAATTAAACAACTAATACAGTAGACCGTAAATAACTGTATTGCTTATTTAACACTCTGATTATCGATGGTATGTTATCAATTATTTATAATCTATTGTTCGATGTTTGTGGAAAGCACAATTTAAATGCTTGTACCGATCTTACAATATGAGCTTAGTATTTAGCAAGCCAGTTGTACGATTACACAACTTGACTCTTGGTTAGAAGTGCATTTACTGTAGTGGTAGAGTCCGATTTATTATCCTGACTTGGCATCTTATTCAGGGATTATCATATCGAGAGTGACTATGTAACATCACTGATGTGTTTTACTCAAAGTATCTATACTTGTTCGTATTACAAATTAAACAATACTTTATTCACAGACGTAATCAAAGATGCGTTGTGTATGCAATCTTGATTGACATTAAAATCTTTCGGTCAGAAATACACGACCTACCTGGCATTAAACGAGTCCTACTCTTTTATCACAATTGGTTAGTGTCTAGAAGAAACGGATATCATAAAAACTATCTGCTGTGAAAGTTTTGTATCCGCTGACTGGTCGGGTTCTGTTGATCATTGCATATGTTAAGATAGCGGTGTATTTGCTTGAGGAAACTGCACAATTCATAATAACTCTTAAATTCACTGAATCATGGAGAGATAATCTTTGCGTTTGATGGAAAACTATCCAAAAACCCATGATTATATGCATTTCCCAAATTGCACTGTCTCGAGGTTATAATTGTATGCCTAACGTTTGTGCATTCGATGTAATCTTATCTCTTTAATAAATAGCTATCGGCTTATCGAATATCACGTGAATTGAATAATATTCGATATTAATATGCTGTACTAGTAATCACAGTAACAGAAATGTCGTGTTCTTATGTCTTATTCACGAAAGGATACGGTATTCTAATTTAGTAGATTGATATTGCCAATTGATGCAATAATACAATCCCGTCTTCGCATCTCTCGATCGAAGTTTCTTTTCTAGCTCTGAAAATTTAAAAGTAGCGTTCATTGCGAATTTTAAGCATAGATTTCTGGTAGTATATGCTTCCCTGTTGCATTGCGTATAATTGTTGTCTAACTTTTCGTATTTTAGTCAACCCTGTTCTCTGTATACTCGCCTGAAATAAACCATTTAAAGCAGAAAGCGTAGGAATAGATTGAACAGAAAAACTCCAACAGTAGTATCACAAGGAATGTTTAATGAAGACCAGATTACGAAGTTTGCGTCTTAGTGCATTGCATCATCACTACTCTGCGGCTTTGTTTTGTAACTTACCTATTTATCCAACATAAAAGACGTATCGGTATTTCCTTTCCTTTATCTTGCCAGATTCGTAGATCGTCAACCCGTCACTTGGTTTGTGTGACCTTTTGCTTTGACTACTTTCTATATTTGCGGTTATTAAAAAAAGCGATATATATCAAAGCTCATCGATAATGAAACAATCGTAATCGATTTCAATGCTCCTTGATTATACGGGTACGAGTAATTAGTTGTAAATTAGTAACATAGAAATGTTTTCTGATCGACGCTTCGACCCTCCCGCGACAATAGTTCTACGTCCATGCATGTCTTTGAATAATTTATCGCCAGAGCTTAAAGTAGAAATTGTTCTTCACTTGAGCAATCCTACACTACTTGCTAGATGTTCGCATGAATGGAATAGCATCGTAAATTTACCTTCTACAAAGTCCAGGTGGCTAATCAATAGATATGGTAAAACTCATGCATTATTTCACGCAGTAAGAATGAGCAAGCCATTCATTAATCTTGATGTAGTCGAACATCTATTTGTTCAAAAAGTCCATATCAGCCGATACTTTATTCAGAGATTGATGCTCGGATTTGGTTCGTATGACAGGAGACTTATTGATCTCAAATTAAAACAGAAGACGAAGCCGCCCGATTCTGACCGGATAAGATCTATTCAAAACAGAATCCAGAGTCCGTGGGCAAGCAATCTTTCCTTTGACGTTTTTAGCCGACTTCTCAAAGAGGGTCATGATCGGTTTGACGGAAATGATATTCCGGTGCGTGGAAATGACATGGAATCTTTTTATTATCTCTCAGCTTGTCCGTTGGCTATTAATCAAGCGAGAACAAAGCTGAGGGAAAACAAAGAGGATATCAAGACGTTGATTCGGAGATACAAATTTGCTCCGTTCCCTCCCAGACCAAGAATTCGAAAGCACATTCTTGAGAGAAAAGAAGATGGGAAAATTGGGCTCAGGCCCTATTCAGATACAGAGTCAGAATTACATACTGCTAATTGTGCTGACTACCCAGCCTTGGATGGGTATGAAGACGTCAGACAACTAAATTTCATTGCTCGAGCGATACTTATTTATCCCAAATTAGTTAATGTCTGGAAGAAAAACGGCTATCATGAGATAGTTAATGATGTGAATGACTTGGTGATGCAAGGATCGTTACTTATCCTTTACCCACCAAGTCCTTCCGACGATTGGGTCAAACCAGGCTTGGATCAAGTCGTTGAGAAACTGAATAGTCTGATGTTGCTTGGGTTCGAACTGACGGATGCCTTGAGTGGAGACGCTTTGATCTCATTCGAGCATAGATTAAACGATATAGGAGAAATATTGCTTGATGCGTTTGCAGTTGTTCGCAACGTGAGTAAAAGAGAAATAATCTCGATCTGTTTGACAGAGCTGTTGAATCCCGACAGAAATCTTAAGCGGCATGATTCGCTCGATTTTATAGTAAATCAAATCGAGAATCCCGAAGAGGAAATTTTATCTGTTTTTAAAAAATACGAGATCATCCGTTCTGTAGATGAAAATCTTGCTGCTTTTACTAAGTACAAACTTGGCAAATATACAACCAAGAGTCAGTCTATTTTCCTGCCGTTTACATGTCTGAAATACACGCCTATAATGTATCGATATATCGCGGCCAAATTTGGGGCTCAGTCGAAAGTGGCTAAATATTTAATGAAAGAAGTAACGGCGGTTCGAATAGCTATTACTCTAATGGAGGAAATTTCATCTCAACAACTTCCATCAGACTTAACGAGCTTGCGCTGGCCGGATTCGATTACCATCTTCAATGAATATTACAAAGCAAAAATCCCTTTAAAAGCAACGTTTTTGCCTTTATTCGGAAAATGTCAAAACGACTCGGTAATTAAGTGTCTATTTGAGGGATATCTGGCAGATTTGTTCGGACTCAAAGTTGAATATCAGCCACTACGCATAACTCAAATTCCAGTCTTGAATACAGTTACACCGTTAATGCAAGGCGTGTCCAAAAAGATTAAGATTAATAGTATGAAGGAATTACAATTAAAATGGCGTAATGTATTATTATTATACAAGTTAAAGAACAAAGAAGCCAAAAATTATAAATTTAAAGAAGCTCTCCAAGAGTTTACTCAACGTATAGATAACTTCACGCAAGAAGAGGATGCTGCTGGCATATTTCAAAGCGGATGAGACTTTGATGTCAGGCGCCAGGTTTAGTCTGTAGTTTTTGATACGGTCGCAATCTAATAGGAGTTTGGGAAAGCGTAATTTATCTGTTACATAGTTGTTCGCAAAGTTAGCTCGTACTACTCCCTTATTCTAGTAGTTGCGTCACTTAACGTTAAGGTTGAACTAGTTCCGATCAATTATATATTATTTAGTGCACACGCGATCTTTCTCTATTCCCAATAATGGTACCAACGATTATATATAACAACAAATTCTACAATCGTTGAATCGAGGGAATAGTTTAAATGTATATTCAATGTCAATACTCAATTTGCGTATTTGACTAGTTAATTAAATCATATCGCTCGCTCTTTTATTCTTACTAATAAAAGATTTATTACTTAGAGGGGTATGGGTATTTAGTTTGTTGGATCGAATGGCGTTTTCTCGGCTATGCAAAGCTGCTATTATTCATGTGCTAATACCGTTTTTGCGTGATTATGTTAACAGATAATCCTATTCGCAATTTTATGAACTAGTGATGATTCAATCAAATGGGAATTTCGCTATATTTATAACTCGAAAATTTGGTACGGTTTCTTCCTTAGCAAGCACAGAAAAATAATTGAAACAATTTCAGAATATAACTAATCCATAAAAAGAATTACAAGAATGCTTATTATTATTACGAATAAAAAATTTTATTTTTATCACGCAGATCTGCTTGATTTATCACGTGATTTGAATATAATATATTGCATCGCGTATTTTTACAGAATTATGTCCCGCTTCAGTATTGCTTTTCAAAATTCTGCAATCATACAAACTTTTTGCGAGAATAATTATATACATAACAAGGGGAATCCAGCACAAATCTTCTGGAAGCCAACGATTATTATAGCAGTTTTCGAACCAAACAAACGAAAAGCAACGAGAACCTAACACTGTCAAAATAGTACGCAGCTTCTTCTAAAATATTGATTCACACTTGGAATATAAAAAGTTTACAAATTTTTAACCTCAGCTACATTCTCTTATTCCAACACTACGCGTAAAGCCGTAAGAAAAATTTTGGTTTTATTTTTATTTTTATTTTTATTTTCTTTTTGAGTTTTGCTATGCATAAATTTTATATCCTCCCGAGATAGCGATTTCTGTACTCTCATCAATAAATTCGTCATTCAATCGTCGAGCAGCAATCAAATTACGCAGGAGTTGACTGATAGAAATTAGGCAAATTTTTATCGAGTTAAGAATATAGCCGTTGATGTAATTAATTGCGTCAAAAATCTAATTTTGATAATAATACGTGGGTGAGTCAAAAAGCTCTTGCTGCTTGGCTTTATTTCGAAAAACTACATAATTTAAAACTAACTAAGCTATTTCTTCAAAATAGTCTTTATATATTTTTGTAACCTCTTCCGCCAACTTTCAAAAGACTTATGATATTTCTCTTGTGGGATACTATCAACAACTGCCTGAGGAGCCCTAAACAGATTTTTAATCCTGTTATTCTTCCTTTTTGCAAGTGCTTTCTTAATTCTAGATAAAGTAAAAAAAAATTACATGACAATATTATAGGCTTAGGATGGACGTAGCAATAATTCGACTCGTATTTTGCTTCAAAAACCCCCATATTCTTAGATGTGCAGAGGCGCACATTAATTTCTTTGTACCTTCAAGAAACAGAAGGTAGGGTGTAATTAGAATAAAGCTTATCTACTCTCGTATCTCTTTATTAGGGTTTTTATTAAGCATATTGAGGCGATTTTTCCAGAATTCTTCACAAAGGCCTTCTGGATCAAGGGTCGTCTTCCAAGTAGTTTTTTCCATCATTGAAAATTTTAACCAGCTGTCAAACTGTGCATAATGTTAGTGCATTATGTCTACAAGACTTCATTAATATTGTATTAATTTTACTAACATCTATCGCGTCTTGCCGTTTCAACAGATATGTAGAATCGGTATTGTTCACGTGAAATTCGAGCCAGTGGTTTCGATGAACAAACTTTGAACAAAGATATCTCAACAACCGTCTATTTAAAACAAACCAAATTTAGTTTGGCTTGAAGATCAGAACTTGAGCTTTTATTTATTAGTATCATGTTGTCATAGGTTATCAGCCCATAAAACGAGAGGCATGCGGCAAGAACTTTTTGATCCACCACGTACCACAGATACAAACGTTAATAATAGGTTTGAAGATGTAAGATAAAGGCTTTTACAATCGTATAAAAGCATAACATTAATTGACACATAATATTTACCAGTCTTCATTGTCGTTCAATATGCCTGGTCTCTTATGTTGTAATCTGAAAGATTGTGAATGCAATATAATTATCATTATGTGTTAACGCCAGACTTTACAATTTGTCTATAAATAACGTTTCGACTTTCACAATAATTAATATCTTCTTTTTTTCACAGGTTAATCTTAATATAGATTTGCGTACAATAACAAGGTCAGACTGTTTTTTTCCGTTAACAAATCTTTCAAGACTGTTCCAGTCTTATCTATTCGCCTGCATAACAAAAATAAGCGCACATTTTCGAAACATTTTAAGGCATATCATGCTCACCGATTTCTAAACTTCTCTGCGATTATCTAATCAGTTGGTCATCAGCTGGAATATCATGCACGATATAATCAACAGAAACTCATCAGGTCTGATAGGTAAAGCTTACTGATCAGTCACTTAAGTCATCAAATGTTGGGACCTGTCTCCGTTTTGGACTGAGTGACTGGGTTCGGAATTGAGACAGGCCCCGAACTCAGACACAACGCCATTCTGTTAGTATTAGGAATAACTTTTACCTAACAACCACGAACAACAAACAATTGGTACCACATAATAACTAAAAAAGAGAATAGTAATGTTAGGACCGGACCCATTCTAGGGTTTGACCCGTTCTGAGAACTGGTCAACCCGTTTCAAGATTGTCAATATTTTTTCGACGTTATCACATATTATTGGAGCAAGAGATTATTCTAATGTGACAATCCCGAATCTAGAACGGGGCACATCAGTAATAATATAATTGCCAATAAAAAACATTGACCATGTGTGGCATTTATCTGCAATTTATTTTGAATGCGTACGACAAGTCATATGATCGTATCACTAAGCATTTATTAATTCTCACGCACATGCTCAACAAACGCCCAAACATTAAACACAACACCTTACGCCTCTTCCACCAATGCAATCAATATGGGATACTGCCCATATGATCTATGCAGAGGGCAACCCCCTCCACATATCCCCGATCCCGTGCTTACACAACAACAACTCCGCTTAATACGTTCCCACCCTCTGGAATGCAAAGGCGTTCGGACATGAACCCATCCCCCCACAATAGCATCATAGACCCCTGGATCCCTCCAATAGAATACAGTCCCTCATTAACATACTAAGAATAGATATCCCCCCCCTTCCCCAATAAATCCGTCTTATGGGCTTTTATTCTCTTCTTCTGCATGTATGTAGATAGATAAAAACAGCTTAAACCTTTAGCGAGCACCTCGTGAATAAAAGTTCCTCGCGATATTTAAGTCTATATACACATGTAGAGGATTCCGTTTGGATAGGAAAAACCTATTACCGCTTGCTAGATGTTCACACGTTTGGTATGAATTAGTGCATCACCCTGATGTTAAATCCACATGGTTACTGAGCATATATGGCATTATTTTATGCTGTATCAATCCTGAAGTTGTTGAGACTTAAAAGAGTGGTGGCAAAAAAAAATGTGCGGGCATGTGACTACTGAGGTTGTCGATACTAGTTTTGGATAGATAGAACAGCTTAACTGGCACCTCGTTGCGAATAAAAGTTTCACGCGATACCTATCCATCAAGATCATCTTGTTGCTCACTACTTGATTACAAAAGTACGTCTTATAAGTTTCACAACAAAGCATATATATATTTCTGTTCCTTTGAATATGTTGCACTACGTGGTAGACTTTTTTAGCTAATCGGGGAAAGGAGAACGTATTTTTTGTAGTAGGGGAAGCAATAATATAGTTTCCCCAACAACGGTTTCTATATGCAGAGTATTCTCGGTACTACTTACTGCGTTGAGTTTATAATAGTATGGAACAAGCCCAGATCTTAACCTTCGATTATTATTCGTCCCGGTGGTGGTTCATTTCGTATACTAATACATGATCCTCATTGTGTGTTGCGTACCACAGGGTTAACATTAGTTTAACACACACATGCATACTATGCTCTTCACTTTAAATAATGGTAACTGTTTACAGTGTATGGAATAAACAAAAACATAACACAACACCGACCGCCCTGCTTCCTATTAAATGATTAGTTTGAGTGTTGTCACTATCCTATAAGAGATAGGGAGATCTTTTACACTGTAGAATAAATTTCCATGAATATTGATGCATTGCCATTTGCATGTTAACTTCCATACAAAGTTAAGTAGCATATGCACCATTAGATGGCAACCCTAATTTTGCTGCCTCAACATATGTTTATAACCATTTATTGTTATTGACAAGAAGAAAAAAACCATAGTTACTGGTTACATAAAATAAACGGCCGTTTGTTTATCATTTTGAGGTAAAGAACAAATGACGTCAAGTTACATATTGTTTAGACACAATAGGTTTTCAAAATGAGCCAATGACCAACTTTATCCGGTAAACCCATGAGAAATCGATCACACGAAGTACAAAATCAATTCACCTTTGCATAGCCCGTTCGGGATATTTTGAATATAAGAGCGCCTGTCACACTTTGATCTCAAGCAATGACACACATTGATGTTTTGGTCACCTCATTTATACATAATAGTAGAGCGGGGAAAAGTGTAATGTAAAAACAAGGGGGTTTGTTGCCAACCCACGTTTTTGTTATGATTAAATAATGGGGAAGCTGCGTTGTAATGTTCATTATACATTGGTGTTACACATTCGATATAGTATAAAAAGAGTCAATAATTGACGAAACGGCCTGCGACGTCTACGTTCAACAATTCAATGCTTGCTAGCTGTGAGAAATTTCCCGATCATACAGGTATGAGTAATGATAATGAGTCATATTCTGCATAAACCGACATCTAATCAATCTTTTAAATCATGGCGTCTCCAGATGCCGCGTTATCGACCGATGGAGGGTCTCATTGTTTAGATACGCTAATACTAGAGCTCAAAGTAGAAATTGTTCTTCACCTGAGCAATCCTACAACACTCGCTAGATGCTCACATGAATGGAACAACATTGTAAATTCACCTTTTACGAAATCTAAGTGGCTGATCAGCAGATATGGAAGAACCCATGCGTTATTTCACGCAGTCAGAATGGGCAAGCCGTTCGTTAATTTTGATGTAGTTGAATGGTTATTTGCGCAGAAAGCGCACATCAGTCGATACTTTATCCAAAGATTGGTGCTTGGGTTTGGGAAATGTGATAGAAAACTTATTGATCTCAAACGAAAGTATAACATAGGATCGTCCGATCCATTTTCGAACACCTTAATTCAAGACAAAACCTGTAGTTCGTGGGCAAGCAATCTTTCCGTCGATGTCTTTTCTCGGCTTCTCAAAGAGGGTTACGATCGATTCGGGGAAAATAACATTTTGGTTCGTGGAAATGACATGGAAAAATTTTATTATCTCTCTGGCGGACCACTAGGAATCACTCAAGCCATGTTTGACATTCAAAAAAACATGGATGAAATTGAAACGTTGATTCGAATTCATAAATTCGCGCCATTTCCTACCAGGCATCTGCCCTGCGATGTCTCCGATGGTTGCGCCGACGTCTTGCAATTGAATATTATTGCACGGCCTATTCTGATCTGCCCTGAGTTGGTTGGTGTCTGGAAGGAAAGTGGATATCATGAAGTAGTAACTGATGTAAATGATATTGTCATGCGAAGTGCTCTGCTAATTCTTTATCCACATGAATTTGAAGAATGGGCTTTACCTGGATTAGAGCAAGTTGTCAAGAAATTAAGCCATTTACAGTCGTATGGTTTCAAATTGACCGACAAGCTTATCGGAGATGCTTTAATATTATTTGAACACAGACTAAACTATGTCGATATAGGTGAAACACTAATAGAAGCTTTTGCTATTGTTCGTAAAAAGCTCAGGGAGGATATTCTTATTATTTGTCTAACGGAGTTGTTGTGTCCAGAAAGACATATTGAACAACATGTTTCGCTTAACTTTATAATCAACTGTATGAACAAATCTTAAGACCAAATCATCTATGCATACGCATGTGTACTAAAGAACAACTGCGTATACAAATATATGGTAAGAAATTTTGGTGCATTTCTAGGTATTTGTACGATAAACCCGAGTATATGATTAAATAATGACAGAACACAAAAGCACATGTACAAACAAAAATTGCTGTACAGTATATATTTGTTATTTATGGTAATTTAATAAGTATAAACTTTCGTTAATTTAGCTGTTACGTATTTTATCTTTATATATAGCACAATTAATAAGAGTTACGACTAAGTTTATCCAAACGATTAAGATTATAAGATTTTGTCTTTTGTATCAATACAGTTTTAAATAACATTACCGATAAGAACCCTGCAAACTGCCTTAGATTTTTTCAGAAAATTCTTGTGAGCAATAATTTCGGGCTTATAGCCAGCACTGTTACCGACGGGCAAAGTTGAAATCAAAAATGGTATATAGCACGTATTAATATAAATAGTTAATTAAATTAAGCTTATAATCATACCATTTTTGCAGTAAATTCACTCTCTTTCTTTTTATTACTTATCTTCCCAATTATCCCTCACTTGAATATTCTTTATATCTATTTGTCTCTGATCAGTCAGAAGACGACTCGTCCTGGCATAAATAATGAAGCAAATGATATACAGTGGTGTTCAAAAAAAAATGGCACAAATATGTATAACTCGGTCAATTTTCAAAATAAACGCGTAATCAATGGATCAAAACAAAGCTTATGCAATGGACTACCATTTCCAAACAGACTTATTTTCAACTTACTTCGCGCTTTATCCAAAACAAAAGTGTAAAATGTCGCAATCCGTTAACGAAAGACAACGACAAACGATATTATATTATTGGGAGAAGGGCCTTAATCCTATCGAAAACCTTTGAAACATAGTTAAAATAAATGTGGAAAAGGCGTAAACCAAAAAACTATAAGGATTTGGAACAGTTTATGACTGAAGAGTTGGACAATATTCCTAATTAATTTAATAGATTCGATGAAGCAATCGATGTGAACTAATTATAGAAAATAATGGTGATCGCATCCCGTATTAAATAATAAATAAATTAACAGCACCTTTTAGGCTTTCAAATAAAGTTTAAATCATATTATTTGGAGCAATGTGTAATGAGTTAGAAGAAAATTCGTTTGTGCCATTTTTTTTGAACACCACTATACTTGATGTCATTATTGAATAAATTATTGAATAATTTATTCTGTTAGAATTTCAATGGTTATCAATTTGGTACTTGACTAAATAAAACTTCACTTTCTCGTATTTTCACAGTTTACCATGTCTTTTAGATAATACTCTCCTTAAATCCGGAATAACTAACGCTGTAGTTAACGTGGATCAAATTAAGGAAGGGTGGTACTGTACATTGGCGGTTAATATTTGCCTCCCACTGTATAAAGGGCATATGGTCTATTTTTTTTTATAAGTGAAACGTTAAATACAAAAAGAACAAAGTGCACAGTAAAACTCGATATAGAGGACTCTTCGATGTAACAATATCGCTTAGTACGGAGATTTTTAATTCAACATTAATAAAATTGTCTTGATATACCGCTAATAAAAGTACTATATGTTAGGCCTATCAAGAATATGCTTGATATAGCGGATATCATATTGCGGAGTCCGCAATAGAGTTGTAAAACTCGCGAGAAACTTTTATGCAATAAAGTTATAACGGAAGTCTGTAAAAAAAATCCGATAATTTATTTAATACAACCATCATTTTCTGTCTCCTATGAAATATTTATTAATATACATAGTCAACCTCGTTAATCCGAACCTCGTTAGTCCGAATTCCTCGTTAATCCGAAGAAATATTTTGGTCCCGATTCATTAATAAGAAAATTGCCTCGTTTATCCGAATTTTTATAATAAATCTCTGTAATCCGTAATCCGAAGGCATTTGTGAAAAACATGTCATATAA